AACGGTTTATCCGAATCGCTCAAACCGTCCAATCCGCCCAACCCGCATATAAGTGGGCGGTTTCGCAAACATAATGCGGGCGGATGCGGTTTGAAATATGACAAATTTGCGGGTTGTGGGCGGGTCGCGGTTTAAACCCGCAAATCGCAAAAACCGCCCGCACTTTAATTATTATTATTATTATTATTATTTTTTTATATACTAACTTTGTAACTTTAACATGAGCACCATTATGTTCTCTATGACATTAGGATTCTTATTTTTAAGTATTTCTTAACTTTCTTAATGCCGTAGAATTATCAAGTCCTAAACTTAGTTTCTTATATGATTTTCATTGGTGACTCATCCACTTTTTCCTAATAAAATTTTTCTTCTGGTGGTCGGTGGAGCTTCTAGTTTGATTATTGATTACTAAACTGACAATTCTAATTGAGTACAACATTTAATGCATTGATATACATTTTTTAATGCATTGATATACATTTTTTTCATGACAAAAATGCTAGTGTAGGGTCTCTTTGTTTTGGGTACTTTCATTTAATACATTGATATTCAATTTTTATTTGTAAACTCATCAGAAAATTCTTGTCAAATGATCACAAATATATAAAATGAATCTGATGCCTAAATTTGATGGAGGAAAAAAAACTCAAAAATTAATTTTTAAAGAAAAAAATGTAAACCGCAAATCGCCCGCAACCGCCTACACATTTGCAAACCCTATCCGCACAAACCGCAAACCGCACTGCAGGCGGTTGCGGGTTGACTTTTTCCCAAACCGCATAGATGCGGGTGGGTCAAAACCGAACCGCAAACCGCACAAAACTGATCCGCAAACATCCCTACAAATGTAAGTATTAATTTAAAAGTACTTTTCTTAAAATATATATATACTAGCGTATGCCCGTACCTGAAGGCACGGTATAAATAATGTTAGGATTAGAATATAATTGTAATCCAAATGCTATTTAAATTTATTTTTTAATTTGATAAATTCACAAATTTATTATAAAATTTTGGAATTCTCATAAAATTCCTCACGAAAGCTCGTTTTGGCTTATGCATTATATAGATAGATAGATAGATAGATGTGCCTAGCATACATACAATTTTCACGGGCATACATACAATATTGCTTTTGCTTATATAATTATACGGAAATTGTATGTATGCCCGTACTATCCTAGTGTATTACGTGTATACATGCAATTTATGGAAATATGTGTAAAATATATTAAACAAAAAAGAGAAAATAGAAAAATAAACAAATAGGGAGAAAAATAAAAATGAGAGAAAATAAAAAAATAAAATGAAAAGAGGGAGGAAGGTGGGATTATGGGATCATGGAAGGATGGGTGAGAAAAGGAAAAAGTAAGAGAGAGAAGCGAGAAAATAGAAAATGTACATGTAGGACATTTTTTGAAAAATATATCTCAGCCGTTGTTTTATAATTTGAATAGATCTAGGACGTCCAAATGTCCTAGTAGGACAAATTAAAAAACCATCCTGCTTTATTATATAGATGTTGAAGATTCATATGAGATTTAAATTTACGAAATCTATCAGGTATTCAATATATTTAAAAATAATAATTAATTGTTCAAATTCATTTAATTTGTGGACTAAAAAATTCATGAATATAATCTCTACTACATACAGTAAAAATCTGGCCCCTAATTCTGGGATCGTAGACTTTTCCATATAATATGAATAAAAATAAGTGAAAAAAATGAGAAAAAAAAATAAAAAAAATAGAGAGAAGAATAAAAATGGGAGAAAATAAAAAAAATAAAAAGAAAAGGAGGAAGGTGGGATTATGGGATCATAGAAGGATGGGTGAGAAAAAGAAAAAGAAAAAGTAATAGAGAAGCGGGAAAATAGAAAATGTACATGTCGGATATTATTTGAAAAATAAATCTTAGCCGTTGTTTTATAATTTGAATAGATCTGGGCCGTCCAAATGTTCTAGTAGAACAAATCACAAATTCAAAAACCATCCTGCTTTATTATATAGATATATAGAATTAGAGTTAGTTTTTGTTAATATTGATTGTTTGTGGATGTAATATTAATCTAGATTGCAAATAAAAATATATGAAAACATATTTTATTGGCATGTCCCCACCGTGTCCGTGTCCCTATTTTTTTTTTAAATCACCGTGTCTCAGCATCCGTGTCCGTGTCCGTGTCCGCATCCGCATCCGCATCCGTATCCGTGCTTCTTAGGTTGTATCTTTAGAATATTTTTGTAAATTATTTTCTTATTTGTAGACATATAAGAGGGATTGACTAGGTAAAACATGACATGAATAACACCATCCTATCTTTGTGGCATGAGTTCTTTATTGTCATATAGGAAAACCTTACCTTGACTGGTGAATAATATTCATAAAACTCAATACATATATTTGAATTATTCATGTATTTTTGTTGGTTCTTACTTTTGTTCCCTTGTGTTGAATAGTTTATTGAATTATTTTGATTTTGATCTTTATTTCAGACAGGAGCAGGTCACTTCTCACCAATTGGTGGTTACCATGCTGGAAAGGACATGGCACTTATTTTGGATGTTGCGCGTTTTAAGTATCCTCCTCATTGGGTTCCACTCACACTCCTTTGGGAAGCCATGGATACTCTTGATGGAGCAAGTGGCCAACGTAGGGGGTATGTGTTTGTCCATGCTTCATCTGGTGAAATTATAAGATCACTTTATCTCAGTCATGGACTTTTTGGGGGCAGTCTTTCATTCTTATGTATTTCCATGCAAGCTATAGACATCTGGTGTTTGTCTGTACTCTGGAAAATGAGATACATTTGACATTTTCTTATCTCTGTTATAGTCAATATATATTCTTCTTGGGGTTTCTCTTTTTGTTTGATATATACAAAAATGTTAGTTCTAGAGGAAACTGTCCTATGGGTAATGACTTGGCCAAACTCCTATATGAGAAGTAGAAACTATCTTTATATACTAGAGAAGTGTGATAGCATAGCAACTATTCAGCTACATATTTGACGCAGATATTTTCCATTTATCCATACATATCTTTGTTTAATTTAGACAGATAACATCTATATAGATATATTTTCCGGTCAGATATCATATATTGATGATGATACATATAGAAATGCAGAATTGAGATTGGTTGCTTGCTCAACATCTAATCATTGTCTACCAAGAGTGACCCTCTTCACCTTTGTGCTATAGGAACAAAAAACATGGAAATAGAAGAGCCTTTGGGAGAAGTGTAGTTAATCTGGTTCTTTATTTATGCTCATTTGGTCTTTTTATCTGCATTGTGCAATATTATCCTACTCCGTTAATTTTGTTGACTATTTTTTATGTTATGATACTAGTAAATTTTTTCCTGTGATATCATAGTTGACTCCAATGTCTTTATGACAATAGTTTTCTTTTAACTATTTGAAGTTTGATAATTTTTCCAGGTTCATGCTAATATCTAAGCTCCATAGAGAGCCATCACTGCTCTACACCCTGGTATGATTCAATTAGGTGGATTGGCAATGTCAATGTCTGCACCTACTAACAAGCGCACTATTTAATTAAGGATTCATTGATATCTTTTTTATCTTGTCCATGTTCATTATATTTTTCTCACATTCTAAAAAATTGTTCATTTATATTTTCTCAGTGTTAGAGTGTGGAACAACAATTCTGTTATGATGGTGGATTGACAATGTCAATGTCTGCACCTACTAACAAGCGCACTATTTAATTAAGGATTCATTGATATCTTTTTTATCTTGTCCATGTTCATTATATTTTTCTCACATTCTAAAAAATTGTTCATTTATATTTTCTCAGTGTTGAGTGTGGAACAACAATTCTGTTATGATGGTGGATTGACAATGTCAATGTCTGCACCTGCTAACATGCACACGCACACACGCCTGTGCGCACAAATTTTATTAAGGATTTATTGTTATTGATATATATATATATATATTTACTGATGAAGCATATTGCTCTGAATTTTTTTGCAGAGCTGTAAACATGAGAGTTGGATCAGCATTGCAACGTACTTAGTGGATGATGTTCCTTGCCTATTAAAATCAGATGATGTGAAAGACATTAAGAATGTGCTTTCTGTTATTTTATCATCGATCCCTTCAGATTTTGGGGAGTTCATCAAGTGGGTTGCAGAAGTTCGGAGACGAGAGGAGGATGGTGGTCAAAGTCTGAGCCAAGAAGAGAAAGGAAGACTTGCTGTCAAGGTTTTTATAACTTAGTGTACTCCATTTTTATTATTTGTTAATTTAATCTCATTCTACAGTTTACTGCACTACCTGTTGAAATTTTAGAGGCCCAATTTCTTGTTTGTAGGAAGAGGTATTGAAACAAGTGCAGGAGACTGGTCTTTATAGACACGTGACAGAATTTTTGTCTTCAGAGAGGTCATGCTGCAGAGCCATACCAATGGCAGCACATGAAGATAATTTACCTGGTATCGCAGCACGTGTCTGTTGCCAGGGGGCGGTGCTTTTATCAGGGATGTCGGGCTCATCAAATGGGTTCTGCTGTCGTGAAACAGGTGTCATTTGCTTTAAAGTTAATGGTGACAAGCTTGTTACAGTAGTGTCTGGGACGGTGGTGAATGGTAATGGTGAGCATGGGGTCGATGTGCTTGTCCCTTCATCTCAAACAGAGCCAAGTTGTTGTGGTTGTAATCCAACTGATGGCACTGGGACGCACCCAGCGAGCAATGATGTTCTGACAGCTCTTTTATTGGCGTTGCCTCCTGAAACATGGTCTGGTATCAAGGAGGAGAAGCTTTTGCAGGAAATATGCAATCTTGTTTCGACTAAAAACCTTCCTACGCTACTTCAAGAGGAGGTATGGTGACATTTCTTTCTAATTTCTCTAATTGCCGCTTCTCACTTATTTTGTTCTCAAGTGAATTTAATGTGTTTGTAGTTAAGAGTCAAACTGGTAGCTTCTTGTTTGAGTACTTGAAAATAAGCTTGCATTTTGCCTAAAAATCTTTTCATGGGTAAATATAAAAGGTAAATGTAACCTCTCACTAAGGTATTGAGATCCTTTCCATTACCTAGATGATAAGGAGACCTCCATTCCATAATCAATGGTTGAGATAGATCCACATCAGTATATCTTTATTTGAAATTAAAAAATTGTCGAGGAAAAAATTTCAGACTTAAAATGACATGGCAGTTATAAACCGTTATTTAGGATTTCAATGTCTTGTTTCAACCTTATACAAATATATAGAGTATCAGAATGGTCCACTAAGGAATGAGAAAACTATGTCAGTTGTGATACCCGTTTAGTTAACATATAATTTCTAAGCTTCTTTGGCATGATATTTTTTTTTTAAAATTTTAATTTTTATCTCAACTTGAAAGAATTGACCTGTAATCTATAATGTCAAACTTGTGTTAGTGCTTCTTGAAGCTAATTACTTGTCAAAAGAATATAGGTTCTTGAAGTTGATTTTGGATTATTTTTGGGGAAACCATATTCAGAATAGCTGGACCTTTTTTTTATTTTTATTTTTAAAGTTTATTTTGGATTATTTTTCTTCTGAAATTATATTTATAAGTTAATTATCTAAAAGTCTTATTTACAAATATTATGGTGGCTTAGGTTCTATTTAAGATTTTTTGAATTAATAAGTCTTATTTAGTAAAATTGAGAATATTATCAATTTTTTCCAATTTTTAAACTAAGAACATTATCAATTTTGCATAGTAATGTTTTAGATAATTGTTTTACTAACTGATGAAAAAAAAAACAGAACATGAGATTAAACGTTTTTTGCCCTTCTATTTATTTGTTTGATTCAATTATCCAATAAAATTGAGAACATTATCATTTTTTTTTCAGATTTAAAATTGAGAATGTTATCAGTTTTTTCATTTTTAAAGTTATTTATTTATTTAGTTTTGTACATCAATGTTCCATCGTCATGTTCCTTTAGACACAATTTTTAGTTTTGCAAAAAAAATTAATTCAGTTTTTTCAAAAAAAAAAAAAGTATTTGATTTCAGTTTTTTAAAAATTGAGCCTGTGTTTGGTTGTGTTTTGTAAATGTGATTTGAGAGTATGAGTTGTATTTTGAGTTTGTGAGTTGTAAAATTATGATTTGAGTGTAGAAAATTTGTTTGGTTATGGTTTTTAAATAGAGTGTTGAATTGTGTTTTGAAGATGTATTTTGAATTAAGTTTTGAAAGTTTGATGTGATATGTGAAAGGTGAAAATTTGTTTGGTGATGTGTTTTGAAAATAATTTTCAAAACTTAATTCAACTAATAATTTATCATCAAACAAACAACTCATATATCGATATCCATATTTTTTATCAACAATAATAACCAAACTATTTTTAAAATACTAAAATTAAAAATTGATTTTTTTTGTCAATTATTTTTTTTTAGTAATTTTTTTGAATAATTGTTGTTTCGAAATAATTTTTTCATTTTAAAATAAACCGATGTCAATTTTTTTCTGCCAATTAATTTTTCTATCGATATCCATATTTTTTATCAACAATAATAACCAAACTATTTTTAAAATACTGACATTAAAAATACCATTTTTTTGTCAATTAATTTTTTTTCAAATCTTTTTTTTGAATAATTTTTTTTCAAATAATTGTCATTTTAAAATAAACCTATGTCAATTATTTTGTGTCAATTAATTTTTCTATTAATTTATTTTTTACGCCTGTACAAACATCTTATAAAATACGTTTTTAATTTTTTTCTAAAATAATTGATAGAAAATCTGAATAAAATCTCACCTTTCTGAACCTTTTGAACCTCACCTTTCTATAAAATAATTGATGCCAGTTCATCTTTAGAGAGGAGGACAACCGGTCGGTCATCCCCAAGGTCTACCGGCCGGTCATCCCCAAGGTCTACCGCCCGGTCATCCCCAAGGTTTGATACACAGATGAGGTTCACGTGAAACAGAGACGATGGAAGAGAAGGACATGGAAGCTTTTCAGAAACGTTGAAAGTGGAGATACAAGCTGCGAAACGGATTTTCAAAATCTAATTTGAATTAACACGCTGAATCAACTTTTGAACATCCTATCCAAACGTGAAGTGGGAGTTCACGTGTAGAATCACGTTTTGAATTCACAACCAAACACAGCCTGAGTTTTTTGTTTTTCGTGTGTTTTTGTTTTTAGTAAATATTTTTAAAATTTTAAGCATTTTTTTTTTACTTTTTTAGATGCACCTTATTTAGATATATTTAAAAGTAAAATATTTGTGAAAAAATATTTTAAAAAATTAATAAATACACAAAAATACATAAAATATGCTGAATTTTCGTATTTTTTTAAATTTTTTTTTGGTATTTAATGAATTTTTTAAAAAAAATTTCACAAAAATTATACTTTTTAAATGTATTTATGTTAGGTGTGTCTAAAAATTAAAAAAATTGCTTAAAATATAAAAAACATTCAGTAAAAACAAAAAATACGGAAAATAAGAAAATAGAATTTTTTGAAAAGTGTTTTGAAAAAATTAGAAACAAATGTATAGTTTTTTGTTTTTTTGCACACAATTTTTTTTAGTTTTTTCAATTTTAAAGTTTTGAAAATCAAAATAAATGTCAAATTATCACGTTTCTTTATAAATAATTATAAATGATGAACAATCATTATTTGAAGGGAAATTCTGACTATTAAAAATTTAATGGAACTTGAAAGTTCAAAAAATCTTAGTTACGACTTAATGGAAGTTCATAAATTAGGACTTGTATGTAAATACCTCATTACTTATTTATTTGTAATTTTAATTTCATCTCAACTTGAAAGAATAGACCCTTAATCTATAATGTTAAACTTGTTTTAGTGCTTCTTGAAGTTGATTACTATAACCCCACCCCCCCCCCGCGCAAAAAAAAAAAAAAAGAAGAAAGTTATTGAAGTAAACTTTGGATTATTTTTGGGGAAACCATATTCAGAATTGCTGGACCATTAACATCCATAAAATTGGTTGATTAAACTAACTATTTATATTGGTGAGTTTTAATGAGTACATGAACTCCCCTTCCCTTTGTATGTCTGTATCTGTATGTGTGCCTTTTGTTTCAGCATGTATGTACACATGCATACCTGGGTATTGCATGAAATTTTTGTTGCTCCAACTGCACACCATACTTGGGAATACCAACATTGAAAGTGTATTTGGAATTTCTATAATTATTGTTCCCATTGCAGAATATGGTGATGCTCTTTTATATGTATATATACATGCTAGAGAGCATGTTGTGATCTGATTGAACTTTTCTTTTTCTGTATTCAGTTACACTATCAATTTTGCAGTTTCCTGTTATCTGTTAGAGGTTTGCCAACTGGTAGCATTTGGGGGATATATACTTTTTTTGTTAGACAATTAAAACCATTCCCATATCTAAGCTGTTAGTGAGCCGTAGCCTCATCTTGGCTTAACAAGATATAATCAAAATGTGTAATTTTCTCTTCCAAGTTCATTATATCTAGCTGATTTCAACATAGTAGATTTTTCATTATTATGTATTGATATCTTTATATAGTAGATTATATTTTTTTTTGTTTTGGAATTTATTTCTAATTTTCATGTGGTAGATTTCTCATCATTATGGATATGGCAGGTATTGCACTTGCGAGGTCAACTCCAGCTTCTCAAGAGATGCCAAGATGGTAAGGAAGAAGAAGATCTTGGTGCACCTCTCTTCTAGCATTCATGTCTTCTCATGTTCTCTTGTATTTCTACTTCTTGTGTTGTAACCAAACAGCACATTTTTATCACGTTTGGGAGTGTGTAAAATGTACAAACTTCAAATAATTCTGTACACACACTGCAGAAAATATATTCATTGCGCCTTAAGGTAAAACATCAACAACACCGACACCGACACCACCACCAAGAAGCAAAGGGTTTCTCCCAGATACTGAAAGGATGTAATGAAGAAGCAAGAGTTGTTTTTCAGAGTTCCAAGTGCTGTTCAAAGAGGAGACACGTCATCAGGGATGGCAATGGGTGCTTTTAATCAGTGTATGGATGGTGGAAGGAATCATCTTTCTCTGGCATTGAAAAGGTAGAAGAAACCTGTTGTGGGTTCAGGCATTATTTTGGAGATTTCGCCAATCAGAAAATAAATAAATTACACAAACGCAAATAGAAACAGGGCTGAGCATGACATGAGATCTTCTATGGCATATGGTATTACATGCTCTTACGTCTCATTAAAATTAAGAGTTCAAATTTTCAGTTTTACGGGAGTTATTAATATTTGTTTGGATTTCTCTCTTGTTTATATATAATTATGATTTATTTTTGGTTCCATCCTTGATTTATTTACATATATATATATATATATATATATAAGGATTAAAAGGAGGAAAAAAGGAAGAATTAAAGAATGATGTGTTTTTTCAATGAGTTGGTTCAAACTTTGAAATAAGTTGGCCTTGTTTGGTTGTCAAATAATTTTTGAGAAATTTTTTTAAAAATTTGTTTGGTTAAAAATTTTTGAAAAAAAAAAATTCAAAATCATTTTGATACTACTTGTAAACATAAATTTCATGTTTCGGATCATCTATCATGTATATCATCAAGAAATCAAGACAAAACGACATACCTGAATCCATCGATGAACGGTTAAACGGAAGCGTCTGATTGTCAATAAAACCTTGATATTGACTATGTTATTGCCTTCTAATTCTTTTCCCTTTGGTGCCTTATGTTTCTCCTTGAGAGGAAGTGTTCTTATTTTTTTCTTCACCTTAGGAAGGAATAGGGACCATAACCTTTTAAAGGTTGTAATTGGTTTTCATAACTGAAAGGTAATAAAAATCAATAAATTAACCATTATTGGTTTAAAACTAAAAGGTAATGAAAACCAATAAATTAACCATTATTGGTTTTCTCTGTTTTTTTTTTTTTAGGAGAAAATCATTTCTCTGTTGTACTTTAATCAATCATTTTTTTTTCTTTCCTCCTTTATTCTTTCATATTTTACATATTAATTAATTATTATTTTTTTGTTCGTTTTTATTCTTTATTTTTTGACATCCATCTATTCAATTCAACTTTAAAAAAAAAATAAAAAAATAAAAAAAAAATAATCCCAAACTCATCATAAAACCAAACAAAATTTTAAAGTTTATAAATCCTTTTAACTCTGTCGGGGTTGTTAACAACTCTGCTGGTTCCAAGCTCAAGTTAAGGAGGAGGGTTGTGTGTTAGGTAGGTGACAGCCAACACGTAAAAAAGCCGCTCGGATCCTTTATGACAATGAATCTTACTTTGAATCATTTAAATACTAGGTCGTTCCCCTCAAGTGATGTGTTGCGTCTGCTTTCGGGTGTTTCGAATAGTGAGCAAGGGGCACTGTATCGACGTCTGGGTGAGGTGAAAAATGGGCAAAGGTTCCTGCGTTTTTCTGGACGAGCGCAGGTAAAGAAGCTAGTTCAAGACTACAGGTTTAGGATAGCCACTTGGAATATAGGACCTTAGCTGGTAAGGCGATGGAATTAGTAGATGTTATGATTAGGAGGAGAGTTAGTATAGCTTGCATACAAGAAACTAAGTGGACGGGTGAGAAAGGGAAATTGAGAATATCGGTTTTAAACTGTATTATAATGGTAAGGATAGACGCAGGAATGGGGTAGGAATCATAGTTGTCAAGGGTTTTGTGGAAAATGTAGTGGCGGTCATTAGGAAATGAAACATAATTATGTTAGTTAAACTAGTTATTGGAGGGAATATAGTGAACGTTATTAGTGCATACGCCCCTCTAGTAGGATTAGATGACTAGACTGAGAGGGATTTTTGGGAGCAAATGGATGAGATCTTATAAGAGATATCCGTATGAGAGAACCTGGTTATAGGTGGAGATTTTAATGGCCATATAAGCATAGATAAACTAGGCTATGAAAGGGGGCATGGTGGATACGGTTTTGGTGACAGAAATGAGGCTGGAGAGAGTATCTTAGATTTTGCGTTAGTTTCTAACCTAGTGGTGGCCAATACTATGTATAAGAAGAGGGATGAGCATTTGATAATCTTTAAGAGTGGGTCAGTTAAGAGCCAAATAGATTACTTCTTAGTGAGAAAAGTGGACCGTCTAAAATGCAATGATTGTAAGGTGATTCTTAGAGAGAGCTTAGCCTAGGATTTTGATACTAAATTTATTAGAGGGCAATACCAAGCTAGGAAGGATGGTGGGCATTGTAGGACGAGATGGTGGGTCCTAAAAGGGAATAAATTAGAAATATTTAAGAATAGAATAGATAAGGAAGGTAGTTGGGACTTGGAAGATGATGCTAACACTATGTGGAACTCGATGGCCAACTGTATGAGGAGAATCTCAAGGGAAGTGCTTGGAGAGTCGAAAGGGATGTGACCCAGCTCTAGGGAAACTTGGTGGTGGAGGGAAGAGGTTCAAGTGGTAGTTAAGGCAAAAAAAGAGTGCTTTAAAAAGTGGCAGAATGATAGAACTGATGAAAATCTTAAGAGCTATAGATTGGCTAATAAGGAGGTCAAAAAAGTGGTGAGAGAGACTAAGTTGAAAGCTTGTGATGACCTATACACTAGACTAGATAGTAAAGAAGGAGAGAAGAGGGTATACAAACTTTCTAAGATACGGAAGAGGAAAATAAGAAATTTTAATCAAGTTAAGTGCATCAAGAGTGATGATTCTAAGGTATTGGTGAAGGATGAAGAGATTAAGGAAAAATGAAAAACTATTTTGAGAAACTATTAAATGAGGAAACATGGAGATACGACAATAGGGGAAGAAATAACTAGTAATATGATAAATCAAGACTATAAGTTCCATCGCAGGATTAGGAACTTTGAAGTGGAGATTGCACTTAAGAAGATGAAATCAAATAAGTCTTTAGGATCCGATGATATCCCTATTGAAACTTGAAAGTGTTTGGGTAAAAAGGGAGTTGCTTGGTTGACTAGATTGTTTAACAAAATTTTGTTGATTAGGAACATGCCAGACGAGTGGAGGAAGAATATTTTAGTGCCAATCTATAAGAATAAAGGAGATGTCCAGAATTACAACAACTATAGAGGAATCAAACGAATGTGTCATATAATGAAAGTGTGGGAGAGGGTGATGGAATGCCAATTACGAGATATAACAGAGGTGTCAGAGAATCAATTTGGATTTATGCCTGACAGGTCAACAATAGAAGCAATTTATCTTTTGAGGAGAGGAATAGAAAAGCATAGAGAAAAGAAAAGAGATATTCATATGGTGTTTATTGACCTTGAGAAAGCATATGATAGAGTGCTCCGGAATATAATATGGTGGGTGTTAGAGAAGAAATGAGTGACAAAATGTTACATTGATGTGATTAGGGACATGTATGAAGGGGTGGTAACCACTATTAGATCGCCTGCTAGAGAGACAAATGAATTTCCTATCACTATAGGGTTACACCAATGATCTACCTTAAGTCTTTATCTTTTTGCTTTAGTTATGGACGAGTTGACGAGAAATATTCAGGATGACATGCCATGGTGTATGCTTTTTGCAGATGATATTGTGCTAGTGGATGAGACTAGAGAAGGAGTTAACACAAAGTTGGAGACTTGGAGAAAAGCTCTTAAATCTAAAGGATTCTGGATAAGAAGAACTAAGACAGAGTACATAGAGTGTAAATTTAGTAACAGTAACAATGAAAGTAGAGGAGAAGTGAAGATTGAGAATCACGAACAGCCTAGGAGTGAACATTTTCGTTATTTAGGGTCAATTATCACAACAACAAGGGAGATTAATGCGGATGTAGCCCATAGCATTAAGACGGGATGGTGTAAGTGGAGAAGTGCGTCTAGGGTACTGTGTGATAAACGAATACCCACTAGACTAAAAGGTAAGTTCTATAGAACGTCTATTAGACCGGCGATGTTGTATGAGACGAAGTGTTAGACAACCAAGAAACAACATGTAGATAAGATAAGTGTGGCCAAGATGAGGATGCTCAAGTGAATGTGTGGCAAGACTAGACAAGACATAATTAGGAATGAGTGTATTTGAGAATGGGTAGGAGTAACACCGATAAAAGATAGGTTGAGAGAGAATCGATTGAGATTGTTTGGTCACATTCAACAGAGACTAATAGAGGCTGTAGTGAAGAGATGTGATACTGTAACGGTAGATGAGAGTATTAGGGGACGGGGTAGGCCTAAATTGACGTTGGCTAACGTTGTAAATAGAGATATGGATCTACTTAATTTGACTAATGAAAGAATGATTCATGTAGCCGACCACATTTGATGAGATTTAAGGCTTGGTTTGGTTTGGTTATAAATCCTTTGCAAATAATTATTTTTTAAAATTATTTCACAAATATAAACCAAACATCAATGTTATTTCAAGGTAAATTACAAATACACTTCTTGAGATTTGATTAAAATACGAATCGCCTCTTGTGATTTTAAAAATTACATTCCACCCTCTGTGGTTTTTAATTTCATAACAAATCGCCCTTTTTATTAATAAATCATCAAGTCAATTAACAACTTTAATGATGTTAGAAATATGTTTCAATTAATAATTTAGGTAATTTTATTATTGTATAGGAGAGCAATTATCAATTTCATTTTTTTAATTAATTCTGTTAAATTAAAAATACTAACAAAGAGATATTTATAATTTTTCAAACTATAAAAAATAATTTATATTTTAAGCAAATTTCAAGAGTGTATTTATAATTTACCCTTATTTTCAATTATCGAACCTTAATACAAAAGAAAGAATAAATGTAATCTAAAATTTGGAGGGTCCTGATTGAGGCTAACACCATCACGAAGCACCACACCAGGAAATGTAATGCAAAACATTCAAGAGTGTGATGGCGTCGCTGCATAGTATTTTTTCTC